GTGGCCAGCAACTCCTATCTCTTTCATTCCTCCAGTTAAAAGGCCAAGACCCTGTCTTAGCCCTGCCCTACTACTTCCTGTTCCTCTGTCCTCAGTCCTCCAAAACCTCTATGGTTAATTTTGGTCAGCTTGTAGCTAGCTCCATCCTCTGACTCAAACAAACTTTCTTGTCAGAATGAGATCAAAATACCACACAACACCAGCCAAGGAAATTAAGGCTTGGGACAAAGGTAGAAGGTTTATGAGGTGATGGCATAGTGACTAGGGAGACTTGGAGTTCAGATAGTCCTTGCTTTTCTCTAGCCAAAGGGCCTTGAGCAACTCCGCCTTTTAGCCACCACGTGAGAAAGATGCATTTTGTTTCGAAGATTAAATAAGATCACACAAATAAGGTTTTAGGATAGTAGATGACAGATAATAAGCACTTAAGTGTTTGCTGTTGTCTATTTTTTTTCTTCTGAGTTTTGGTATTGCCAGAAGAAAAGTTTGGGGGAGTATAGACAGCCTGGGTGGCTGCACATCCTTTCTCAAAAGGCCTGGCCTCGACCCTTCTTTCCTTAACATTGGAACAGCTCTGTCTGATCCTGTAACCACAGGAGGAGCCTTCCTTCTCCTCTCAGGAGACTCTGGCTAATTGGAAGCCAGCCCTGTCCTTGTGACAGTTCCCAGCCACTCAGGCGACATTCAACAGCCCTAGTGGTGGTGCTTTTTCTGTGTTTTACCCTGACAGAGCAGGTGCTCTGTGGGGTCCTTGGAAAAGACAGGTAATAGATATGATAAAGGCAGAGTGCATCCTGGCGAAGCATCTCTGCTTCTCTGGGGAGGTCTAGAGGCTTATCATGACAATTAATTATTCACATATCTCCTCCTTCCCCTCAAATACTTGGTTTCCTGATCAGTGCCATAGAGATGCACATGTAACCCTAGTGCCCGATGACAGTTTAGAGCTGTGTCAGGGTCATACGCAATGAGCGACAGTAAGCATACATATGTCACTGCCTGTTTTTCAGAGCTGGGCTGAGACAAGACTTCAGCCTCTCCTGGCTCTGGGTTCATGCAGTGCAAGGGCAACTCAGGCTCTGGTCTTGTTTCCCACCTGTTTGAGCTTGGCTGTATCCTGGTTGCCAGCACTCGGGATGGAGTGCAATGTTTTCCAGCCCAGCTCACTCTCCCAGGCTGGGCAGTCTGCCCTTTACAGAGCTGTAAACACACAGCCATCCATGCAGGCTTCAGCCTTTGTGCCTGCTCTCTGGGAAACCTTTATGTGACTGTAAGAGGTGGCATAAGGCTGAGGACACTTACAGTTCTAGAATCTTTGGGTAATTCAGCCCCTACTCCCCTGGCTTCTTCATGCCCAGCCTCTCCTGCCCATGTGTGGACTTTCTTGAAATCTTTGTTGGGTTTTTATTTCCTGGATACCACCTGTGCCTCTGACCTGTGTCATCTTCCAGGCCATTGCTGAGAGCCAAGCGGGAGGTGGCTTATCCTCTGAAGGAGACCCAGGACCAGAAGCAAGAAATGCAAATGAATATCTGAGACACAAAGCTGGTGGCTGGGAAGGGAGCACTGAGAGGGACTGGGGAAAGGAGGAGGAGCATAGCCAGATGGGGATGGAGGGTGGCAGCTGAGCATCCACTGGCAAGCAGATGCAGCAGAGAGGAGGGATACAGGCTCACAGGCCTCTGTGCCATAGAGGGCTCTGCCTCTGCCTCTGCCACTCTTGGTGGGTAACTGGCTTCTATGCCTTAATTTTCTGCTCTGTAAAATGGAGACAATGATCTCAGCCACTGCAAGGGTAGTATCGGGACTAAATGAGCTCCCATACTCAGTCTTTGCAAAAGAACTCTGTTCACTTATCACTCCCGGCCTCTAGCTCTGTATACACACTGGTAGAGCTCTTGGTCCTCACCCTTGAACCTGTCCTTCTCTTCTGATGGCCTCTCCATTAAACAACACATCACAGAAACATCAGAGTGCTGCACTCTCTGCTTTGTGTATACTGCCCTGTGGCTGTGGCCCCCAAGGCCTCCCCCCCACCCGCTGTGCCTCCAAAGCAGCCTGGGACATCACACCTCTTCTTTCATTCCCCCGAATTTCACCTGCATCTTCAGTATTGCTGCATAAAAAATCATCTCCTGTCTCCTGGCTGATCTGTTATTTCCCATGTCTTGGGTCAACAATCTAACCCTGACTGAGCCATCCCTCTTGCCATCTGTCTTTGTCTGATCTAGCCTGGGCTCAGCGAGGGTGACCCTGCCCCGTTCTCCTGCCAGGCCCAGTGGAGTATTTTCTCCGAGAAAACACCCTGGCCTCCTGTGGCTGGTTGGGGTTGTGGCTACTAAAAGCCCTCTGCGCAGCTTGGACATCACGGGCCACTGCTTCCTCTGTGCCTCACACTCAGTGACATTGTGAGGACAGGTCTGGATTCTAGATAAATCTGCTACCCCACCCCATCCCTCTCACACTTCTCAAAAGATGTCTAGATTCACCTAAGATCAGTCACAGATACGTGAAGGCACACATAGCACATTCACCTAAATTCCATTACATTTAAGTTAAGGCACACAGTATGTTTTGAAGGTCAAACCTCTTTCTCAGGTATGGTTTCTAAACTGGGCACATACAACTATGGCCAGCAAACTGCCCCACCCCCACGGCAAAGTATTGCCAGGTTAAACAGTCAGCTTTGCAGTTGGAGGTTGTCTTTCTTACTTTTCCGTTGCCATAACAAAACACCATAACCAAGGTAACTTAGAAAATAAAGCATTTAATTTGGGGGCTCACCATTCTAGAGGGTTTTTCATCATCATGATCATCATAGCTAGGAGAATTGCAGCCAGCAAGCAGGCATGGTGCTGGAGCAGTAGCTGAGAGCTCACAGCTGATCACAAGCACAAGGAAGAGGGATGGGGGAGAGGAAGAGAGAGAGGGAGAGGCAGGGGAGGAGAGCAGCAGAGGGGAGGGGAGGGGAGGGGAGAGGAGAGGAGAAGGAAGGGGAGAAGAGAGGAGAGGAGAAGGGAAGGGAGGGGAAAGGAGAGGGGAGGAGAGGGGAGGGGAGGAGAGGAGAGGGGGAGAGAGAGAGAGAACTAGAAATGTGCTTAAGCGTTTGAAACCTCAAACCAACCCCCAGTGACATACCTCCTCCCAAGGCCACACCTCCTAATCCTTCCCAAACAGTTCCACCAACTGGGAGCCAAGCATCTGAATTGAATATATGAGCCTATGGGCCTAATCTCATTCAAACCACCACAGAGGTATCAGCCTGGGGACATAGGAAGGGTAATTGACCTATTCAAGATCTGTGAAATTCTGGGCGGAGCAAATTAGCTTTTCTGAGCACACCTGCCTCACCACTTTACCTGGCTCCTCACCACAACCCCAGGGTGTTGTGCTCATCTCTGGATGTTCCTTCCTATATCTGCAACATCACAGTGCCAGGTCCTTTCAGTGAGACTGAGCCTTGTGCTCGATGCCTCAACTGCAGACTAGAGGGAACGTCCCATTCCAGACTGGGTGCTCCTGCCCCACTCAGGGCCAGACACATAGGACAGCACCCTTAAAAGTCCATTAAAGGTACGAACAAAGCAGACCAATGAAATAAGCAAAACAAAAGATTGTGGGTAAGGCATTGTGGTCATTTTAGGAAATCCACAACTGCACGCCTATAATCTATACCATCTACTATTGAAGCCTTGTTGAGAGAAAAGCTTGTTCTCCAAGTAGGGGTCTCATATCTACAGAAATGAGGCAACCCTGTTACACATAACCCAGAAGAAAGATGGCCCTTTCATCTGGCATCCAACCAAAGAAACATATGCGTTATCTAGCTGCATGGTCTTGTTGAAGGCCCATGCCATCTGTTCTTTATTAGAAGTTTAAGAAGGGTAGGCAAGGGTTGGCTAAGTGGGTAAAGGTTATTGCTGCCAAGCCTGACAAGCTGAGTTTGGTTCCTGGGACCCATATGGTAGAGAGAATGGACTCCAGCTTGCCGTCCTCTAGACTTCACCTTCCACACAAATGTAAAGAAACTTTAAAAAGAAGTTCAGAAGATTCCATTGGTTATATTTTCTGTAAGCATCCCATCCCAAGATACTAATCTATTTCAACCATTAGAGACACATATCACATTGAATTTACACTTTTATATCTGCATTTTCCACCTAAATCATTGAATTCTCACCTGTGGTTATGGTTGTTTTAAAAGCTACAGCCTGAGGCGACACAGGTTGTAGACCACGTAACTCTAAGAGAACAGCGTTTGTTCAGTCTTCTATAGTCCTCCTTGTCTCCCTACCGACTCCCTGGCAGTATTAGCTGCTCAAAAAACTGTGAAAGTGAATAAGAGAAGGTTAACAATGAACTCAGCTGTTCTCAAGATGGATAACATTTGAGATGAACAGTTCAGACAAGTTTTGATCCAACATTATTAAAGCCCTATGACAAAAGGCACATGTGTAAAGGGGGCTCATGAACCCACTAGAGCTTTCTGAGTCAAGAGACTTGACTTCTCCTATCTATCTAGAAGAAACTGTGCAACCTGCTGGACAGAACCAAGGTTTTACAAACACTGTCAAACATAAAGCAATAGCCCCCTTTCCCTCTCTAGAACTTGGGATCACAAAAATCTAAAGTCATGGATTCCCTTCAGTTGGATTTTGGCTTCTCTTCTTGTTCAGGCATTACTGTTTCTCTTAATGGAATAATTATCACTTCATACACTCAGCCATCCATCCATTCACTCATCCACACATCCATCTACTCATCCAGCCATCCATCTCCTACCTATCCATCCATCCATTCATGTACCATTTATCCACACACCTATCCATCCACTCACACACCCATTTATCCATCCATCCAATCATCCATCCATCCATCCACCCACTCAATCATTCGTCCACCTATCCATCCATCTATCCACTCTTCCATCTGCCCACCATACATCCACCCACCCACCCATCTATCCATTCATTCATTCATTCATTCCTGTGTGCTCCCAGGTGAGCTTTCTGTGGAGGAAGCACAGGACCCTTTCCTGGTGAGCATCCACATCATCGCAGACCCAGGAACATCTCAGCCACTGCAGGAGGCCATCGACAAAGTTTTGGCATGGGTTCACCCTGATCTCCCACTGTTCCGAGTCTCTGAGCGGCGCACAGGCAGGCGAAGACGGAAGTCCCCCAAGGGTACGCAGCCAGCACTGGCTGTAGTGCTGTTCCTGCAGGAGGAGTATGGAGAGGAGCAGATCTTGCAGGTGCACCGGGTGCTGCAACAGCCACCCTGGCGCCACCACCACACAGAACGTGTGCACGGCCGCTTCCTACCCTACCTTCCCTGTAGCCAGGACTTCTTCACTCTGGCTCCTGGAACCCCACTGTGGGCCATCCGGCCAGTGCACTATGGCAAGGAGATTGTGCGCTTTACCATCTACTGTCGCCACGATAGCTATGCAGACAGCCTCCGCTTCTATGAGCTGATCCTACGCCGGAGCCCCAGCCAGAGGAAAGCAGACTTCTGCATCTTCCCCATCTTCTCCAATCTGGATGTGGATATCCAGTTCTCCCTGAAAAGACTGCCCTTCGACCAGACCCCGGTACCCACCGACTCCTCAGTGCTGGAGTTCCGAGTGAAGGACATCGGACAGCTGGTGCCCCTCCTTCCCAACCCCTGCAGCCCCATCAGTGAAGGGCGCTGGCAGACTGAGGACCACGATGGCAACAAGATCCTTCTGCAGGTACAGAGGTCGTCTGACGTCTGTCTGTTTGTCTGTCTGTCTGCAGGTCTGTTGTGCCAGAAAGCCATGTAGATGTACAGAACCATGAGTTAGGGCAAAGAAGAGCACAAATGGCCTTGCCCATCCTAGACCAATATGGCGCCTCCCATACTCTTCCAAGCAAGAGTGAAGGTGGAAAGATCTCTGCCTCTGGTTCCCTCAGTGTCCCTTCAGTGGTACAGGCCTCTGTAGACACATGCGCAGTTCTTCCAGGTGTTGCCCCAGGTTGAACACTCCTAACACTCACAGCTCTCTAGGGGTGGAAGCCCACAGGCTTCTCACCTGGGAAACTTACTGATACAGAGCCCTAACTCAGATCTTTCACTCCTGTGGAGGTTTGCCCAATGTATTTATTCTCCACTTCTCCAAGAGAAGCCCAGGGGTTTGAAAAATTGTACCAAGTCTATAAAGATTTCAGATTGCTTTCTGTTGCTCCCACCCTCCACTTTCCACACTTGCTGCCACAGAAGGTTAAGATCAGTGTTGGAAAGGAGCCCCTTGTCAACATTAGAAGGAGTGGATATCTTTGAGGTAGCCCCCACCACCACATGGGTGCTCTTTAGGGAGCCTATGTTAGCTCCAACCTTTCCAGACTGCTACCTCCTTTCTCCTGCACCCCAGCATGATGTGTCCCACACTCATCAGAGAAAAATGATTGCAGTCTAACACTCAAAATTGAACCTGGAAGTCAAAGAATGAGCTACCCCTGGCTTTACCTGACCACTGTTCCAAGCCAGGCCTCCTGAGTCAACAGGCCAGTCTCTGTCTTCCTGTACTGCCTTGAACTGGAGATGTAGCTAAGGGGTAGAGCACTACCTTCCATGGTCCAGACACTGGCTTCTGTTCTCATCATCAGTAAGGACTCAGCCTCTATGATTCCACCTTTCATGTTTGACTACATAAAGAGAAAGAACCAGTAGCCATTTGGGGGCTCAGTGACCCTGGGGATAATTGTGCCCGCTGGGATCACGGGTAAAGTTTCACCACTTGGCGTCTGGCATTAAGCACCAGAACTTCATCCCTCATGTGATGAGGTGAAAAGGTACACATCAGATGACTCGCCCAAACTGCATCCAGGGTCCCTTGCTCAAGGGAGGGGGTCACCTTGACATACTGTTGTTATAGGAGTTCCTTGATTTTTCAGACTTCCTTTTGAAGAAGCCAATGAATGTGGCTTTGTTATTGAATAAACTAAATATTAGCCTCTGCTCTCTAATCCTCCTTGAAATGTGTGGGGAAACAACTCTGCATCTGAAGACTGGCCATTTTTTATGCAGAGTATGACAGTTACACCAGTAAAAGTTAACAAAATGCAAAGGATTATATTTGTACTAAAAGACCCAGATGAATGTGATGGCTGCTGAAGAGATGATTTCCTCTCCAGAGTCATGAATTGTCCAACCTCCATCCTTATAATAGCATAAATGAAAGAACATTGTAGACAGCTTGGCCTGGGTTCTGACCCAAAAAAACACAGAAAGGTAGTATCAAAGCTGAGCTACATGTTTCAGTGATGGTAAAATATGTTAGGAGCAGGCTTTCAAAGATGAGAAATTGCTGAAAGAGAAAGAAAGCAGATTCTCACCTTGGGACTGTGGAGTGCAGAACTTCTCTCTAAGCCAGTTTAGTAGCAGTGCATTAAATAGTGCCCACAGAGGCAACACAGAGCGCCTCCCAGTTTGGGAGAATGGTCACTGTTGACCTGTTTTGGTGCAGAGAGCAGCTTCCCGCTCTAAAACAAGGCGCACACCTGCCCATTTCTCTTAAGTAAAATGTGCATTCCAATCTTCAACACAAAGGACACAAGGGGAAGGGCGCTGAAGAAAGTACCTTTTACACACAGTTTTGTTTGTTTGTTTTTGGTACCAACTATTACTACATTAGTTCCTTTTCTCATTGCTGTGACAGACAGCAACTTAAGGGAGGACTCATTTGAAATCATGGTATGAGAGGACAGCCCATTATATCAGGAAGGGCATGGCAGCAGGAAGCTTGAAGCTGTGGCCTCAGGAGCACGAGGCACCCAGGAGTGAGTGCTGGTCCCCAGGTGGCTTTCTCCTTGTTCTCTTTTTGTTTAGCATGGGACCCCATCACAGACAATGGTGCCACCACATTCAGATTGAGTCTTTCCTCTTCAGTCAAATCTCTCAAATGCTTCAGTTTACACAGACAACTTCCCAGGTGTCTCCTGGCATTTCTTAATCCAGTCAGGTTGACAATCAAAACTAGCCATTACAGTTCCCTCTTTTCAAATATCCTTTTTCAGATATATCTATATGTGTGTGTGTGTGTGTGTGTGTGTGTGTGTGTGTGTGTGTGTGTGCGCACGCGCGCACGCGCTCATGCACATATGTGTACACACTCTCTGTATAGGAGTCTCTTCCTCCCTTTGTAACTCTTCTAGAGAAGAGAATATTTGGCTTTGGTTTTTGCTATAAACAGCACAGCCCCTCCCTGAACTCTATATTGCTCAAGAAGGGAAGGTATCTAGTCAAAACAAGGTTCTGAATGACTATGGCATCTTCCTTTTTGTGTACTCATGAGTAGATATCACATTTTTTAAAAGACTTAGGATAACTGATAAAGATACAAACATAGCAAGAAAAGTAATAGCAACTAGATACAGAATAATTTGAAGTAGAGAATAATATTGACATGGCTCAGTGGTTATGAGATGAGTCCTTGCTGCTCTTACGAAGGCCCCCAGTTTGGTTCATGGCATCTACATCAGGGGCTTCACAACAATTTGTAAGTCCAGCTCCTGTGGTTCCAACACCCTCTGACCTCTTAGAGTATTCTCACACTTATGCACCTGTCCATTTGCAAACACGCACACATAAAAATAAATAGACTAAATATTTCTAACATTTTTTAAATCTTAGAACAAAGAGTTGCTGTCTGTCAAAATGAGCTTCGAGGCAGGGTCCTGAGAATGTCCTCACTTAGAGATGTGATCATATGCACAGTGGCTGCTTTAGCCTTTTTCATTCGGCCTGGACATTGACTAGACCCTCAGTCCTGGAGCATTAACCCAGCCACAGTGCCCACGCTGTAACTAACCTTTGAGTGCTTGGATCCCACTCACCTGGGATCTTGAGGTCATGAGCAAATTGTACCATGCCTAACTCTAACTGGTTGGTCACTCAGACAATTCGTAGGCCACCTTCTCCATGTCAGGCACTGTGATCTCTGAATGTAGCCAACCAGAAGTCCCTTCCTTAGTGAAATTATCTCCTAGCAGGGAGGTAGATGGCAAGAAATATAATGAAAATGACAGTGTGTTAGGAGGTACTGGGGGGAAGACTCCACCTATCTAACACTTACATTATGAGGTTGAATCTACTCATAAAAGCAGTGTTTATTAATCCATCAAGGTCTAAAAGTTTTCCATTAACTTTAGTCAAGCAAGAACTGTCCTTGTGTGTGCTAAGATTTCCTGGTAACATGCCAAAACTTTGGAAATGTATAAGTGTCCTTTGGGGTGCAATGATCATTATTCATTTTCAAATTTACTTTTCTGCCTTTGCATAGCATATATCATATAAAATGTAGTCTTTTGAAAATTCCAAAATGTAGGTCCTTTTTGTTTGAACCTAATGTATTGCTTAGCTGAAATCTTTGTTGTGGGAATTGAGTCTGTCTGTAACTGCTTAGACTGCTACAAAGGAGAATAAGTCCCTGAAAAGCAGAGAGAAGGCCAGGAACTGCTAGGCTAGGCTGCACCTTGGTCATTGTCTGTTGCTGTTTATCTCCTGTAACCTTCTAAAGCATGTTATATAAATCCCGTGTAAACAAAACAGTTTCAGTGTTCTCCCTTTCTGAATGGGCAACATCCATGTAACTGCAATAGAACTTAGCTGTTTATGAGAAACAGCTGCTACTGAAGCACTTACTGGGGGTTGAGGAAAAGGGTGAAGCTGCTCTTTCTACAGCAGGTGCATGTAAGCTCTGTGTGTTTCCAAGATACCCTCTTCCCAACAGGCCTTGGCTGAAAGCCCCTCTACCAATTCACAGCTATAGCTGATGTACCATGTTGGGCTGACCCAGTCCAGCCACCTTGGCTGTAACTATGCACTGTGTTGGGCTAAGCCAGTTTGGCCTCCGTGGCTGTAGCTGATGTACCTCCCATGTTGGGCTGACCCTGTCTGGCTTCCCTGGCTGTAGCTGGTGTGTCCAGGATGTCTGTGCACCTGGGCATCATCGAGATATTAGGACCTGGAATTAGGAAAGAAAAGTTACCCTCCTTTCCAGTGGCTGAAAACCCCACATGTAAAACCTGGGACCAGACAGAAGCTGCATTTTCCATTAGGGAGGGAAAAGTGTCCCACTCTGAGTGGAGGGAATGACTCTCACCTACAGAGAAGAGTCTAAAGAATTATAAGGCAAGGTGTCTTATAGTCCTGTAGCTCCTCATATCCTGGAGCTACGATCTTACAGCTATAGGCATCTCCTCAGTGTTTCAGCTACTTTTGTCATGGTTGTGATAAAACAGTTGACAAGAAGTGACACTTGTCAAGGAGAAAGGGTTTATTCTTACAGTTCAAGGGGATGCAGCCACCATGCTAAGGTGGCAAAAGCAAGAAGAAGCTGGTGACATTGCCTCTGCAGACAGGAAGCAGAGAGAGGGAAATGAGGTCATCAAACCTCTAAACCCAGTGACCCACTTCATCCAAAGAGACCTCACCTCCTAAACACTTCACAACCTTCACAAATGGTGGCATCATCCCAGGACCAAGTGTTCAAACACATGAACCTGTCTGCAACATCTCACATTCAAAACACAGTGCCCAGTACAGGCGTAGTTTAAACTTAAACAAATGAATTCTCCCTTCTTTGTAGCATGTGTTTGGGCGCTTGACCTGTGTGCATGTCTGTGAACCCCTTGTGTAAGTGCCCACAAATGCCAAGAAGGGCATCAGCTCTCCTGTGACTAGAATTAGAGACAGAGATAAAGGAGAATA